CGCCGAGGCCTCTGCGTGCTGGGCCCCTGACCCGCCTGACTGACCGCAGGTGGCTGGCGTTGACCTCGGGATGAGAGGTGGACACGATGAGACGCTCTTCACCTCCCCTCTCTCTGGTTCTAACTCTTAGTGGCTCTAAGTACTTTCACATAGACACAGTCCAACAGGCCCCACGCCCTGCCCACCCTGCCCGCCCTGCCGCCCGCAGTCCTGGGCGGAGATCACCCGGCAGACGGAGGGCCTGAGCCGGCTGCTGCGCCAGCACGCGGAGGACCTGAGCGCCGGGCCGCTGAGCAAGCTGAGCCTGCTGATCCGGGGGCGCCAGCAGCTGCGCCGGGCCTACAGCGAGCAGTGGCAGCAGCTGCAGCAGGAGCTCGCCAAGGTGGGCCGGCGCGTCCCCCCAGGGCAGCTTTCGCCAGAGCCCCGGGCCCTGGGCCCCGAGGAGGGGGCAGCCGCTGGCCGCATGCTGCCCCCGCCTCCGCGCCCTGCGGGGACCAGCCCTGGGGCCGGCTTCTCTGTGCCCACCAAGGCCGGGACTCCGGCGCCGACCAGCTCCAGCCAGCGGGCCAAGGCCGGGCGCTTGCCCACTGCCCCGGCCCGCGCTGGGCAGAGGGGCAGGGAGGAGCCAGGGCCGCTGGCTGCCCTGGGCCCCCAGGGTCCTTCCCGGGCGGCCAAGCACCCCTGCCGGTGCCGAGGCCAGAGGCGGGAAGTCCAGCCTGCCCCTGCCCCCTCCCGTCCTGATGCTGGGGGCCTAGAACTGGCCTTGGTGGAGGTCGGGGGGGGCAGCCCAGACCCCTGGGTGCACTGGTCAGCCCGCCCCACCCCACCCCAGCTCACACCCCTTCCGGGCAGGAGCCCAGCCAGGCCGTGCCCACAGCGGCCCCTGGCGGCCAGCCTGGGCAGGTCAGCCTGGGAGGGTTTCTGGAGCCGAGGGCCTCACCTGCGGCTGCTCTGGAGCGAAACCACGGCCACGAGTCATTCCCGCGGCCGTGTGGCCTGCCGGCCTGGCGCGTTTGCCGTCGGGTCCGGTCTGCTCTTGGTCTGTGCGTTTAGCTCAGCCACAGACGGGGGAACTGAGGCCTGGAGCAGCGAGGCGGCACACGCCCGAAGTGCCCGGCAGACTCGGGAGCTGGTCCTGCCCCTCGGTGGTTCCTGACGCCAGGAACGGGGGTGAGGGGTGGGGAGGGGGGCCCGGCCCGGCCCCCAACCCGTGAGGCGGCTCACCGCCTGGCCGAGCACGGCCCCCTCGGATGGCCGGGCCCCGGCGGCTTCCCCAGAGGCCCCGCGCCGCGGCCCGTCCTCGCAGGCCCACAGCCAGGACATCGAGAAGCTGAAGAGCCAGTACCGCACCCTGGCGCGGGACAGCGCCCAGGCCCGGCGCAAGTACCAGGACGCCAGCAGAGGTGGGCGGCCCTCCCGGGGGGCCCCCCGGCCCGGCCCGGCCCCACGGTCCCAGCTGCCGCCTCCCCCGCAGACAAGGACCGCGACAAGGCCAAGGACAAGTACGTGCGCAGCCTCTGGAAGCTGCTGGCCCACCACAACCGCTACGTGCTGGGCCTGCGGGCCGCGCAGCTGCACCACCAGCACCACCACCAGCGCCTGCTGCCCGGGCTGCTGCAGTCGCTGCAGGAGCTGCACCAGGAGATGGCCCGCATCCTGTGAGCCCCGCGCCCGGGGGGC